GTCGTAAAAATTTTTTTTGCCGTGAACAATAAATTTAAAATAAATCCAGACGACATGCATTCAACGGGTGTCAGTTCTCATTGAAAAATACATCCCTACCCCTTACCAAAATGTAGCTAATAACCGATACAATGATACAGACATAAGGAAAACCCAGACACCCCTTGTCCAGTTGAAGTAGATTTATCTGTAACCATAGAAACAGGATTTTAGCTGTGTCTTTAAAATCCAGTAATTTTAAAAGTTACTCCAAAATTCGCTTGAGGATGAAATGGAACTAATGTCTTTAATTTAATTGCAAAATTAAATTCATTGACTTTAGCTTCCATTTTTGAAACATAGTTAGAACTGTGTGCCAGCGGAAAAACATATTTTAAATCAATTAATTTATAAATATATATATATATATATATATATATATATATATATATATATATATATAAGATTATAATTTATTATAAAATTAATTTAATATATTAATAATAATATTAATTTTAAATATAAATAAAATAAAATAAAATGTTAGTATAAATTAATATAGTAATACATTAAACAATGTGAAAAGGGGTGATCTTCGACTATCATTGACATTGATAGAACTGAATATAAAAACAAAAAACAAACTCACAGCGCAGCTTCAACGACAAAGATCACATTGAATAAATCTGCACATTGTTACAACTGAGAATTGATACTTCTACAGTAATCTGCGCCATATTAGAAAACTAAAAATAGAAAAAAACAACTCTAAAACTAGTAGAAAACCAGATCAAGCGATGTTAGCGTCCTTTTCACTCCATCAGATGTTTCGATAGCAAAAGTTGAATAAAAACTGAGAAGGATATATAAAGGAAGGATTTTATAAGGAAAATTATATAAAGATTATAATTCATTATATTATTATATAAATTAATTTAATATAATAATAAATAATATTAGCTATAAATATTAATATAAATTAATTAATAAGGTAATAGACTCGACATTGTGAAAAAGGATGATCTTCGACTATAATTGACATCTATGCAGCCGAAGAGAGAAAAAAAAACCTCAAAAAGCTCGCATAGCAGCATCAACCACAAGGATCTCATTGAATAAATCTGCACTTTTTAAAAATTTATTAATTACTCACATATTTTAAAATGGTTTATCATGAGTTATTTTACTAGTTTACGTAAATGTTCTATAGAATTTAGTCATTAAATACAAGTCTATTTTTCATTAAATTAGTTTTACTTCAAAATAAAGCATATACATTTACTATTTCTATAATACAATTCCTAAACTTATCTATTTGTAAATTATAAAATATGCTTTTATCATCGAATAGTTATGGGGGTCCAGAAAAAAAAAGTAAAAGTTGACCATGGTTAAAAAAAAAGTAAAAGTGGTCCATGGTTAAAATAAAAAGGAAAATTGGTCCATGGTTAAAAAAAAATGTGAAAGTGGTCCATGGTTTAAAAAAAAAGTAAAAGTGGTCCATGGTAAAAAAAAAGAAAAGTGGTCCATCGATAAAAAAAGTAAAAGTGGTCCATGGTTAAAAAAAAAGTAAAAGTGGTCCATTCTTTAAAAAAAAGTAAAAGTGGTCCATCGATTAAAAAAAAGTAAAAGTGGTCCATGGTTTAAAATTCCATGGTTAAAAAAAATGTAAAAGTGGTCCATGGTAAAAAAAAAAAAAAGTGGTCCATCGATAAAAGTGGTCCATGGTTAAAAAAAAAGTAAAAAGTGGTCCATCGATAAAAAAAAAAAAAGTAAAAAAGTCGTCCATGGTTAAAAAAAAAAGTAAAAAGTGGTCCATTCTTTTTTTTTTTTTTGGTCCATCGGTTAAAAAAAAAATGGTAAAAAAAGTGGTCCATGGTTAAAAAAAAAAAGGAAAAAGTGGTCCATGGTTAAAAAAAAGTAAAAGTGTTCCATGGTTAAAAAAAATGTAAAAGTGGTCCATGGTTAAAAAAAAAGTAAAAGTGGTCCATGGTTTAAGAAAAAGTAAAAGTGGTCCATCGATAAAAAAAAATAAAAGTGGTCCATGGTTTAAAAAAAAGAAAGTAAAAGTGGTCCATGGTTAAAAAAAAGTAAAAGAGGTTCATAGTTAAAAAAAAGTAAAAGTGTTCCATGGTTAAAAATAAATTGGTTGAGAACCATTGTCCGAGAAATTTACAGATAAAAAAAAACCAAAAAAAATAATTTTGACAATTTTCTGCAAAGAATGAACAGTAAAACTATTTACAAACACCTGGTCACTTTAATGTGGACTAATAAGGAAACCAATCTCATCAATCAGTACTTATACAGTGAGTTTGATACTCACTGGGTGTCCTTATTACTAAGGCAGGTTTTATACCCTTGGCGGAACATGTGAACAACGCGGGAAGAAAAGGTTTTTATTTAGAATCAAGAAGGGACAGCTGAAATTCCTTTGACACAATGAGAAAAGAGGGCTTAGGGAATTTGACACTGACATGGCACACTGAAGGTTCGAGGGGAGGATGGAAATAGGATGTATTCTAATCAACGTCCTTGTATAAATGGATGCCAGAACAGGACATGGGAGGGATAGTAAGAGAATAAGCATTGTTTATGACTACAAAGGATAGGTAGCTGTGGAGAACCGTGATCAGTCACTCCCTGAAGGGGCAGGGTACGTGAAAAAAGAGGTAGTTTTTAGTAAATGGATGCCTCGCCGTTACGTAGAAATGAGTAGCTTCAAACTACTTCAGCAAACATGACCCTCACCAGTCGCCCGAATCTTGTATCTTTGTATGGTACTCGGCTAGTTTGAACATATATAGTGTGAATATATATATATATATATATATATATATATATATATATATATATATATATATATGATTCGTTAAAGACGATTGACAATGTACTGCGATTAAGCTTTTTTATTTAATTTTCTTGTGTTCGTACAATAGTAAGAGAATAAGCATTGCTTATGACTATAAAGGATAGGTAGCTGTGGAGAACCATGATCAGTCACTTCCTGATAGGGCAGGGTACGTAAAAAAAGAGGTAGTTTCTAGTAAGTACGTCTCCCGCTATCAAGTACAGATGAGTAACTTCAAAGCTACTCTAGTAAATTCGACTCTCACCTTTTTTTTCATCGACTGGTTATAGGGTCCATCCAAAAAAAAGATTAAGAATAAAAATGGTCCATATTTAAAAAAAAAAAAAGAAAGAAAAAAAAAGGTTGTGAACCACTGATGTAGATGTTTTTATAAACGCAACGTTTCAACCAAGTACCCACTGGTTATCATTAGGTATCCATTGATTGGCGAATAAGGGATATATCTTGATTATTGTGATATTTCATCCTTGTGATATCAGTTAATTTTCGTCCTTCCTGTATAGGTGAGTCACGAACACATAACTACACAATGACCGTGGTATATATCCAACTCCTATATGCACTACACCGAAAAAGAAATTGAAAATGCAATTGGAGTCTTTATTTAGCGTAACTTTGCTGGTTTCACAGTTCTATGACGTTCAAAATTTAAATGATGTCAGACATAATTCAGTTAAATTATTCTTTTAAGTATTGGACATCGTGGTAAAATGTTTAAAAAGTGCACCAAAAATTTTATTTAAAATGATCCCACTAGCAAAATTAGAGGTAACCTTTTTATACTATTTACATTATTCGGACTATTGTCCTCATCTTTGTCGCCATATTTATTACAACGTTTCGGCCGTTCTACGCTCCGGTCATCTTCAGGTGGTTGGAATGTCGAACTGAACCCTTTATTTCGCTCACTGGGGTAGACTGTTCTAGTTCCACGTGCCATGTTTTAATGGATGCCAGTTGTCAGTTATCTCATGTTAATTCACCTCTCCAAGTTCTCCACTGCCTTAACCGGGTATTAATACTTGTTCAGCGTGCTAGTGGCTTCCCGCCTTGCTTGGAGTGAAACGCTGAAAAAAAAAAATCAAATGTCAATTAATGAGACCTTCGTTCCAGTCTAGTATTGTACTTGCATTTATAAAATCTACTTACAATAGCGAAGTAATCATCCAAAAAATTACCCTGAAAGTATTTACATAAAAAGGTAGAGGGAAGCATTACGGTATTTGGAAAGTAATTGAAGCCGAGACGCCATAATATTGCTGATTCTTTTTTGGATTTTATCAAGAATGTCTAAATATATAGCAGGAGTAGCAAATCATAAGTGGTAGCTATATTCAAGTCATTGATGAATTGTAGACATTGTAAAACAGATTCTGGAGAGAAAAGCACGACACAGTGAACCATCTTTCTTAGCAGCAGACTTCCTAACGGATTTAATTTTCATCTCTGAAATGTTCAGACTATAAAATGAAGAATGAATAGCGTTTGATGAGGACAAAAAGAGTCCCGGAACTGAAAGAATAGGAAAGAGCGATCGGGAAAAGATATTAAAGCCTAACATGATGAAGAAAACGTCGATAGAATTTATGGGAGTAGGAAAGATAGCGGGAAAACCATCCTCTCGTCATTACGTGTCGACTTGGCTAAGACATCTGAAAACTACACAAGGCAGGTCAGTGAAAAATTGGTTTGGATGACATGAAGTAACAGAAGAACTGAGAAGATGGCGGCCAGCGGTGAAGAAGACATTTCTATAAAGGAAAACAGGAAAAACGGAAATAAAATTCAAACGGATTTCAAGGGCGATAACCAAAGCGAATCTCTCAGCGACGAAACCAAGAAATGAAGCAGTTTTCAAAGTAAATCTCCATTCTTAAGACAATCCTATTAATGGCAATAATAGAACCGTAACTTGCGATATTTCAAAGGAAAAAGACTTGACTATTTGAGACCGTTTAAAATCTAAAACTAACTGGAAAACTTGTTTCAAAATTTTCAGGATTTGTAAATGAAATTAAGACCTGTTTATGCTTTTGTCAGATTGTTGAATGAGACAAGACAACGGAAGGTGTCAGAGGAGTAGACGATCGAAATGCTCTCATAAGACGAAGAAGGAAGAGTGGTCTGAATTAGAGACATATGAAGAGGCTTAAATATATATATATATATATATATATATATATATGATGAAGATAGATAGATAGATAGATAGATAGATAGATAGATAGATAGATAGATAGATATGAAGAGACTTGCACAGATAGACAGGAGAGACTGACATAGATAGATAGATAGATAGATAGATAGATAGATAGATAGATAGATCAGCTGAGATACATATGAAGAGGCTGGAATAGATAGATAGGTAGATAGATAGATCCGAACAGACTAACATATATACATAGATGATATGAAGGGTCTAACATATATATATATATATATATATATATATATATATATATATATAGATAGATAGATAGATAGATAGATAGATATGAAGAAACTACTAAGGCTATACAGATATGAAAAAAATGACATAAACAGAGAGTTAGATAGACACAGAGAAATAGCAATAAATATAAATAGATAAATGGATAGATAGATGAATATATTGCGATAGATAGATAGATAAGTAGATACAAAAAAAGAAAGAAAGAAAGAAAGAAAAAGAAAAGATGAAACTGTAGTAGATAGATAGATAGATGAACAGACTGAAAAAGATACATACATAGATATAAAGAGATTAGGATAGGAAAATAGATATATATGAATAGATTAAGTGAGATATATCGATAGGAATAGACTGAGGTAAGTATAGAGAATTGGAGGAGAAGAGGCTGACAAATAAATGAATATGGATAATGATTAGATTGATATTGATGCATAAAACAGAGTGAGATAGATAGATAGATAGATAGATAGATAGATAGATAGATATAAATAGACTGTGATAGACAGATTAATAGATATATATACGGAGAGATATGAATAAACTGAGATAGATAGATAGATAGAAAGACAGACAGATAAATAACGACACTGAGATAGATAGCTAAATAGACTGAAATATATATATATATATATATATATATATATATATATATATATATAGATAGATAGATAGATAGATAGATATGAAGAGTGTGATACATGCGTAGATGTGAATTGACGCTGAACAGTTTGCAAACTGATACGTATTCATATATATATATATATATATATATATATATATATATATATATATATATATATATATATATATATTTGTGTGTCCGTGTGTGTGTGTATTTTGTGTGTGTGTTGAGGAAGTTGTAAAACAAAATGGAAAAATATCTGTGATGCGTTTCATCCGTTAGGACTTCGGATATTTGTTGACGTTTTCTCAACACTGGTCTTGATATATATATATATATATATATATATATATATATATATATATATATATATATATATATATACTCGTGTAGACTGAAAACAAAATCCTACAAAAGACGAAAACGTGGAAAAAAATACATAAAATATAATTCATATTTTGAAGTAATATATATATATATATATATATATATATATATATATATATATATATATATATATTTATCAGTATGGTTTGAAATAGGCAGGACAATTTTCTTCTGAATTCAAATTAAGCACGCACATCTCTGTTCGGGCTATGTTTAATTCGATAGGTTTACAGGCGGACGGAATTTCAAATGCAAATTGACAACAAGCGCCTTTTTTAACACTTTTCGGCTTCCATATTAGTTTTTCTGCGCGTGCCTCTGGTTTGATTGCATATTTAAGTAGCAATACCTCCCCCGACGCCACAAAAGGAGATTAAAAAAAAGAAAAAAAGAAAAAACAGAAAGAAGATGGAAGCGAAACAAAAAAAAATATATATATATATACTACAATGAATCGGAAAAACAACATAGAACAAAATTTATCACAAGCGAACAGGATACGTGGATAATGACTCAAATAGAACTATTTCAAACTGACAAAAGACATATATATATATATATATATATATATATATATATATATATATATATATATATATAAAAAATATATATAGAAAATAGGGAAAGAACTCGTTAGGTAAATAATCCAAAGTTCTTTAGTATTTTTTGTTATTATTTTTTAAAAAATAGAGGTCGATACAAAAGTAGAGCATAAATATTATTTATTTAAAAATATGATTCCAACGCTACATAAGAGTTCTCATGTTTCAAAACAAGAGCCGAAAACTTCATTATAATTATTTGAATTAATTTAATTCAAATAATTATATTGAAGTTTTCAGTTCTTGTTTTGAAACATGAGAACTCTTATATAACGTTGAATCATATTTTTTAATAAATAATTATATATATATATATATATATGTGTGTGTGTGTGTGTGTGTATGTATGTTTGTGTGTACGTATTCTGTTGAAATGAATGTGTATGAAATAACGTACAGTGCTCGATATAAAATAATAGGGCTAAAATTTATACTAATAGTTAATCTAAATTTATTTTTCACCGTTTCGTAGGACTGGAAGTTTTATGCACGAGCCAATCGTCAGGTACGGATTGAAAAAATATATTTTCAGTCTGAAGATTACCACGTGCGTGTAAATAAACTTAGATTTGTGCCAAGCGGAGAA